GCTCAGGTGGCACATGAGGATGGTGACCAGCTCCCCAGGGGTGATGGTCCCCGCAGTCACCAAGTGTCCCCCCCTAAGGAGCAGCCCCAGCTTCATGACCAGCGTCGGGAACTGGGGACATGGGGACACAGGGTCACATGGGGTCACCCCAGCCCCATGTCACTGTGTCCCCCAGTCCCATGCCACCACGTCCCTGTGTCCCCCTGTCACCACATCTCCCATCCCTGTGCCACCCATCCCTGTGTCCCCATGTCCCCTGTCTCCATACCCTCTATCCCCATAACCCCATGTCCTCATGTCCCCCAGCCCCCTGCCACTTCAATCCCACATCCCCTGTCCCCCGGTCACCCTGTCCCCATGTCCCTCAGCCCCCTGCCACCATGTCCACCAGCCCTGTGCCACCTTTCCCTGTGTTCCCTGTCCCCATGTCCCCATCTCCGTGCCACTGCATCCAATGTCCCCTAACTCCCTGCTGCCACGTCCCCATGTCCCCTCTTATGCCACCCTGTCCCCATGTCCCCCAGCCCTGTGCCACCCATCTGCATGTCCCCTATCCGTGGATCACCATGTCCACGTGTCCTCTGGCCCTTTACCAATACACCCAACATCCCCATCCCCATGTCCCCATGCCCCATGTCCCTGGGCCCCCTGCCACCCTGTCTTCACCCCTATCCACCCTCACCCCCATTTCCCCCATTCCTGCATCCCCCATTCCCATGTCCCCATCCCCCTGCCACCATGTCCTCCGTTTCCATACCACTGTTCCTCATTCCCCCGTGCCCCCCATCCCTGTGTCCCCCCAGTGTCCACGTACCCCGCTGGCCCAGCGCCCGGCCCCATAGGCCAGGGCCTCTCCACATTCCAGCTGGTGGCCGTGGCTGAGGCGCTGCTGGACACGTGCGGTCACTCCGGCCTCATGTCCAAAGGCCCGGACGGTCCTCAGGGCCCCCAGTGACTCCACGGCCACCGCGGTGGCATCAGCCAGCGCCGCCCGCGCCCGCCGCGCCAGGTCCTGGGGACACACGGGACAGGGGGTCACCACAGGGTTGGAGGGCACAGAGGGTGGACAGGGTGGGGACAGGGAGGGGACAGAGGAGCCACCACAGAGTCACGGGGGGTTACAGAAAGCACACGGGGGTTACACTGGAGTCACTGCAGGGTCACTGCATGGGATCATGGGGGGACACAGAGGGAACAGGGGGTCACCCTGGAGACAGGGAGATCACCTCGAGGTCACCATGCAGATGGGGAGACAGGGAGGGCACAGGGGACAGAAAAAGGTGACAGTGGGCATTGGGAGGTGACAACAGGCACCAGGAGGGGACAGGAGGGACTTGGACAGAACCCAGGGAGATGATGAGGGGCCTTGGGAGGTGCCATGGGGTACAGGGAGGTGACCAGGGGTGCAGAGAGGGGACAAGGGGCCCAGGGAGGTGACATGGGCTGCAGGGAGGTGACAAGGGGCCCAGAAAAGTGACCGGGGTGCAGGGACAAAGGTACAGGTTACAAAGGGAGGTGACAAGAGGCCCAAGGAAGTGATGAGGATTCTGGAGAGGTGACGAGGGGCCCAGGGAGAGGACAGGGGCTGCAGGGAGGTGACACTGGGGACACAGATGTGACAAGTGGCCAAGGGAGCTGACGAGGTACTCGCAGTCCCTGTGTCCCTCTCGGTACCTGTTGGATGCCTGCGATGGCACGTGGCAGCAGCAGGAGGAGGGGCAGCACCAGGAGTGTGACCAGGGCCAGCAGCGGGGCCAGCGAGGCCATCACGGTAAGCAGGGCCCCGGCCCGGGCCAGAGCCCACAGCGCCG